CATGTTCGCTGCCATTCGCCTGGCGAAGCCCCGCAGCAAACACTCGCTGGGACTCGCCCGGCGAAACCCCTAGCGAAGCCAAACAGAAGCAAAAGGCAGCATTCGCCTGGCGAAGGCTCGCCCCCCCCCCCCCCCCCCCCCCCCATTCGCCCAACGAATGCACGCGAATTCTGTAGAAAATCTGCTGTTCAGAAACAGCCCCACACCCCGATTTCGTCCGATTAAATCCCACGAAATCCTATACTATACCAGTACAATACTCTCCCACAAGACTACACCAACTATCCTAATTCATACTCGATAAATCGTCAGTTCTACACAATTCTTCAACTTCCGGCATTAACTCCGAATTTTACCGGAAACCCCAAATCACCAAATAACCACATGCAACGAATTTTAACATGATAACTATAATCATAACAGAATTATTAACATGCAACCATCATCAATTCAACATCATTCTATGGGGATTAGGGATTTTCCCCTTCTACCAATTATTCATGCAATTACCAAATTAACTGATCAATCCCCCCCCCCTTTACCTCGAAATGCTATTGATGATGACAAAACCTTCGAGAAATCTACGCGATTGACAGCCCTGATGATCCTCCCCTTTGCTCAAGCTTGCAATTGATCAATCGAACTCTTCTCTCCTTCACGCGTGTTCTTCCTTTCCTCTTTTCCTAAATGCCAAGCTTGCCCTTAGTTCCAAATAATTCCCCTTTTTCTCATATTCCAAATAATAATAATAATAATAATAATAATAATAATAATAATAATAATAATAATAATAATAATAATAATGACATTTTCTCTTATTCCTCAATTCTTTAATTAATTTTCCAATAATATTTTTAACATAATAATAATAACAATAATATCAATATTATTATTATTATCATTCATATTTTCGAATATTATGGAACTTAATTCTCCAAGAAATTACCACACTTAATTTACCGAAAACAAATAATACGGAAAAACTAAATAATTAAAAATGGGCGTTACAGGAGGTGCTGCAGAAGGCAACATGACTTGGGAATTGGAGAGTAAGATGCAGAAGCCGCATCCTGAATTGTTTGGATCAGGTAATATTTTCGAGGACGAAAATTTCAAAAGTAGGGGAGAGTTGTAACGCCCCGATTCTGAATTTCCTTTTTTTTGTTGAGTCTTTTAATTTATTTTAATTGATTATTCTTTAATTGTGGAATTTGAACATTGATATGTTATGTGTGTTTATTATGTTATTCTATTATTCGGAGAGTTTTGGGAATTAATTAGAGGGTGTTTTAGATAATCCTTAATTAGTAGATGCTTGAGAGAGATAGAATAGAAAGAGTATAAGTGGAAACAGAGAGAAAAGAAATGAGATAGAAAGAAATAGAAAGGAAAGAAGAAGAGAAGAGAAGAGAAGAGAAGAGAAAATAGGAGGAAGAGGAAAAAACCTAAAATCATCAAGAATCAACTTCTAAGCTTCGATTAATCGGGTAAGGGTGTGAAACCTTATTATTCTTTCGATGTATATAATTATGTATGTTTCTATTGGTTTGCCTTTGGAATGGGGAGAGTTTTGCTCATTTTCCGTTTTAGGTCGAACTTGAGTAAATCGTTAGAAACCGAGTTTTCACGGTTAAGAATGAGAATAAGTGGTAGAATTTAGTTGAGGGATGTTGGACTAAGCTGATAAAACGAGTTGGGATTGAATCGGGCAAGTTTCGCTGAGTTTCGGAGTTTTGGATAATGGGGATTCTGAGTTCGCAGACCCTCGCTAGCACGTTCCCTAGGCGAGCAAGTCGCGAGCATTCGTTGGGCATTCGTTGTGGCGAGCTAGTAGCGAACGGTCCCAGACTTGGGCAGAATGGTTTTTGGAGTTCTTCGCTGGAAGCAAAAGGGGTAGAGAGCGACTCGTTAGGCCTTCGCTGAGCGAGTGTGGTAGCGAATCAAGTCAGAGGCTTCTGTTTGCTCTCGCGAGCTTGTTCGCTAGGCGAACAGGGTAGCGAGCGTAGCAGGGTGTTATTTTATTGTGTTTTCACTTCCATGTTGATTCTTCGATTCATGTGTGATTAACCCTTCCTTATTATGCATATTTGTGTGTGTGATATGAAATGTTGTGCGTAGCCGTATGGCGTGAATCCTAGATTGTGAATCGTGAAGTGTGAAATGTGGTCGTTTGGCAATTTTGTGCAATTGTTTGAATTAAGTGAAAATGCATGATTATATATTCGTGTATATGTATGCATTTCAAGAATGTATGGAGTCGTTTTGTTTGTGAAGCATCATGATTGCATTCTTGTGTGTCTGATCTCGCGTAGGATCTGCAGAAACCTCGTGTGCCCTTGTGGAGTGTGAGTGATGGTTTGTCTTTGATCCCTAGGAGGATATGCAGAAATGATCGTGTGTCCTTGTGGGGTGTGGGCGATAGTTTATATTTGATTCCATGGAGAATCTGCATAACAATTGTGTGCCCTTGTGGGGTGTGAGCAATCCTGAAACATTGTGTGCCCATGTGTAGTGTGAGCGATGGGTGAACATCGTAGGCCTGACGGGGAGTTACTTCGGTAACGAGCGATGGTTCCTTTGGTTCTTCAATTGAACCTGCTGAATGAGTCGGTACCGCATTTGCATTTGCATAGAGTCGTGAGTCGATCTCTATAAGTGCATTATTATTTTCATGTGATGTATTGGTGTAATGAACATAAATGTGTATGTTTATGTGAAATATGTGAACGATTGGTGAATTATATATGCGTTGCGATGTATGTATGATTGAATTGTGATGTATTAAGGTGAGAAATATGGTATGCGTATTCTATGCTGGTGTGTATAGATATATAAATTATATGCATTGTTTGTTATGATAATGTTTCTCACCCTTCTGCTGTTTTATGGTGCTCTATGAGGCATTGCAGAGTAGTTTTGCTGGAGGTCTTTTGCGAAGCGGGGTTTCATTCTTTTTGGTCGGTTGGCTCTGATATGTAGCACCGGGTAGATAGGAATTCTTTTGGTTCTTTTGTGATGCATCTGTGTATGTATTTGTCGGAATGTTTCGTAAACATGATTATGACTTGAATTGAACTGTTTATGTATACAACGCTTATATTAATGAAGTGGTTCAATGTTTAGATGTTTCCGTTTTTATTCTAAATATTGATGTGTGGGTTTTGAGGACTGAGTTCCTTTATGTTGGTTTACCCTTTGTTGCATGTCTTTATGAGCAGGTGTTGTATGTGTTTTGAATTTTTCTGGATATTGTGACGTACCTCTTTTATACCATGCGTTAAGTTATACTCTGATGACATTTTATTAAAGCGCTTAAATGATTTAATTGTTTATTTGGGGGTATAGAAAGGGGGTGTTACAAAACTCAACCAGAATGTTATTGTCAGCAGTTAATTTCGACACACTTAATAGGTTTTTGGTAATATTGGGCACATATAAGACATTATGTAAGTTAAGTGAGTTTAGTTTTGAGGAACCTGTGGCAACAATCTTTAGTTTTTCACCACTTCCAACAATTAATGAGTTTTTACCATGATGTTCTGTCAAATCCTTGAACTTGTCAGTTTGGTGTGTCACATGATTGCTTGCACCACTGTCAAAGTACCAATCATAATCTTGAAGAGAGCTTTGTGAGGCTAGGAAGGCATTGTGTGCCCCTTGTCTGTCACTGCCTGCTGAATCATTTGAGTTTGAATAAGACTTATCAAATCTGTAATAGCAATTTACTGCTGTGTGCTCGGCCTTGTGGCAAACTTGACATGTTGGCTTAGACATTCTTCCTCTTCCTCTGCCTCCTCTCTAACCTCTGAAGTTAGGGCCTCTCCAGTTGCTGTTGGAACCTCTCCAGTTGTTGTTTGTGTTGAATTTGTTGCCTCTATAATCAGTTTTGTTGGCAACATTTGCTGAAGCATTAAGGGTTAGGTTGGTGAGTCTATTCAGTTGATCAAGTCTACTCTCAAAGGTCAGCAATTGAGCCTGAAGATCAACCCAAGTGAGACTAGTTTGATCAGATAGCTTGACCACCATAGGATTGTATTCAGAATCTAAACCATTCAGAGTTTGAATGATTAGATCTGAGTTGGAAATGGGGCTGCCTGCAAGTTTCAGCTTGTCAGCGAGATTCTTCATTTTGACCAGATACTCCTCCATCTTCATCTCTCCTTTTCTAATGCTGTGAAATTCAGATTTGAGGTAAGTGACTCGAGATCTTGTGTGTGCACCTGCTAGGCTTTGGGCTTCATCCAAAAGTTGTTTTGAGGTTTCGCAGTGCAGCAACTGTGTTGCCATTTCAGTAGTCATTGAATTCATCAACCATCCAAAGAGTTGTGAATCATGAGCCTGTCGATCTTCAAAAGCAGGATTTGGCTTCTTGCTTGAATCTGTAGAAGCTATGAATTTTTCGGGACACTCCTTTGTCCCTAACATGTGCCCATCGAGCCTGTAGCCTTTGACTATAGAGATCACCAAAGATTTCCATAATGGATAGTTGTCTCTGTCCAACTTGACAGACACAGTGAATGGGGGAGATCATTTCTGGACTTTGAATCTGCAGCAGATGCCATGATTTGCGTTGGATCAAGAGCCTTCAGGGCTTAAGCGCTCTGATGCCAAGTTGGAAAAGTAATGATAGGTAAAGGATAATATTATTGTATATTCTGGTGATTACAGTGTACGTATATATAGCAAACATTAGCAGCTACATGATTTTATGATTAAGGCTAGAATTAAGATGCTACAAGCAAATAAGGCAACAAATAATGTTGACAGTAATTACACTAATTATATTGATTGACAATGTCAAGGTAAATTATTGGATCCACACATTAAGGGATCTTGTCTCTAATTCAAGTGACCTTCATGATCCTCTTTGCGGATTTCTTGTGAAAGATATTTGTATTATTGGTGCAGAGATTTTTATTTGTGACTCAAAAAATGAGAAGCAAGTGAAACATGAATCTAGCTTAATTACTTCTCATACATCTGGAAGTCAAATAGTACAAATGGAAGTTGAAGTTCTAAGACCTAAGCTAGACAAAAGTAATGGCGAAAATATAGGCAAGCTTATGGATTTCCATGATTTTGGACAAATTGAAAAGGCGTTAGTTCCATTGTTAGATGAAGTTTGTGCTCAGCACCCGTCACTTATTGAGTGCCAGCAGAAAAGAAGTCAAAAGTTTAGGGAATGGACTTTCAATGCTCTCGGCAGAATTCTTTATTTTCTGAAGACTAGAAAGATGAAAGATATGAATGATATAGCTTGTAATGAACTGCAAATTTTCTGGGAGGAACTTGAACACTTTGGTTTTGATTTGTCGTGGCTTGAGCCTCATGTTCAATCAGCTTTAGGAATGAAGGGATATTTCAAAAAATTAGACGAGGTTGAAAAACCAAAAGATAATGAGGCACTTCTCGAATTGGAAATGATGAGATTGAAAGCAAAGATGGTAGCTCTTGAAGTAAATCGGCATGCTGTCAAAAAGTTGTTGGAAGCAGAAGACTTTGAAGAGAAAGATTTGGACGCTGAACTAGGATTTGTGAAACCCTAAATATTCATGTTGACGAAGATGGATTTTCATTTCTTGAATGTTTTATCAAACAATTGTATGAAAACATACATTTCCTGTCCTAATTAACAAGTTGTTCCTTATTTCCTTTGCTAGCTCTTGGTTATATAGAAGTCTCTTTTTTTGTTGAAAACTTATAAGGTGGACTTGATAGTAAAAGAGAACTAATAACATGGTAGAAATTTTACAAGTTTCACAATATAATTTCTCCCCAGGAGATTAGGGGATCATTGCCAATTCCATATCTATTCTATTTTCACCATTAAATGCAGAAGGAGTAAGTTGAAATGTACAAATTACAGAACTTGAAAAAAAAAATCTAACATATTTAAAAATCCAAAATGATATAAATTAGAACACTTCAAACATGTACCTAGTAATATAAGTATTGTGTTGTGCTTATCTGCCTTGTCTGTGCTTCTTGAATTGTTATGTAACAAACAAAAAACACAAAACGGAAAATCCGAGGATGACAAATGTTTTCCATTGCATCTCATATTCTACAATATTCTATATGATAATAGACCGTCAATTAGCTCAACAACCATATGATTCATGCGCACTAAAAGCAGCAAATATGATCTTGCTTTAGGTCCTGAAAAAACAGACAGCTTCATAAATGATTAGTTTGAATAAAAAATCTCCCCCAATTGCAAGTCATATGGATGGATGATTGAACTATGCCAAAGAGCGATCTTGTAATGGAAATAAATAACAAGCACAAAGGAAGACACAGTAAGACTACCTAAATCAAATGAAGGAATATCATCTTGCCCGAAGAAGTTGCATCCGCTGGTCTTCTTGCTTAGATTTGAATTAATCTTATCAACGGCTACAAGTAGCTCCTAGGAGGCCAAATCACAGAGACCAAAGAAAAATTGAGGAATTAAGGTTATCTGGCTAAGGCTAACAAAATATCATGTCATAAAGCACAAGGTATTGATAAGAATAGAAAATAAATGTGTTTTCTTGAATAAATAACAGGCCCTTAGCCTTAGCTGGGCAAAACCCAGTTAGCTACCCTTCATCAATGTGCTTATGAAGAACTAACATCCCTTTGGAATACTAAAATCTATAATACTGAAAGCCATAAAAAACCTCACCTCCCATGATGCTAGACTCTTCATATAGGTAGGAAGGCATTCAAATTGGCTCTTTAATATGTTCAAACAGGGGCTTGGAGCTTCAGGTGCCTTTAAATTCTCACTGTCTGCCTCTAAATTAGGCACTCTGTCGACTCATAACTTGGAATGAGAATCATGCAGAAATTATCAAGAGAAATGCAAATATCCACAAATTTTAACTTACTTCTCAAGTTCTGGTGAAGGTACATTATCTGCAAACCAAGATAAAGAAAGATAGTGGTAGAAAGGGAATTAGCAACATAGAATTAATTTGAGAAGCTAAGGCTAGTATGCATGTAATCAACAACAAAAAACAGGTCGTAGGCAAGGTTGTCAAAATCAGGATCTTGCAAAAGATCGGGAGGGTATGGTAAGATCGTAAAATCTAAGATCGCAACTAAGATCGGAAAATCCTACTCAATTATTTTTGTAAGATCGAGAGGGGGTAGCAAGATCACAAAACATAAGATTGTAACAAAAGTCGTAAGATACTACTTTAACAGAAAGTAATACTACATATTTGAGGGCAAGTGTATTTGAGGGGAAGTGGACGTCGCCGAATCGAAATTGTTGTGCCTTTGTATCTAGTCATCCTTCTTAATTTGTAACGGTGGTGGCAGAAAATGGCCGATTGTGGCCGGAATTGGCCATTGGCACATAATTAATGGTTTTACCATTTTTTTGTCTTCACAATTTGACTACAGCACAGGATTCTACCTAAGACCTAGATTGTTGGGGGTGAGTGAGATTGTAAAGTCATAAGATTTTAAGATTTAAATTGTGATTTTGATAACCATGGTCGTAGGACCTTCACTGAAAGTACCCGAAAACAATGTAGAGAAAAGTCATGCGATATAACACATAGCCTACAAACAAGTATCACTGGGAAAATGAAACATAACAAGAAATGAAGAAACTTGCAGCTAACAGAAGCATAAAAATGGAATTTTCAAATTGCATCCACTAACCTTCCAATGCTAAACTGGCTAGACATGCATCTGATAGCCCAAGTTGTTTCAAACTCATAGATTCATCAAATCTTAAAAGTGTTAAAGGACATAACAAGTTTTTCAAGTGCAATAATTAATCAAATTTACTTGCAACTATAATTTCATCCCAGCAACAACACTTTTTTGTCATCCCTTATAAAATTGATTAAAAAACTGGAACACTGCGCCTGTATTCTTAACATATAAGGAACGCCGAGATGAACCTGTGTATGAAAACTCTAATAACTTAGTGTAAGAAATTCATAAGATAAGGATACAAAGCATCGTCATCGTAATTCTTGAAGCCAGAATCAGCAACAGAGAGTGATCCATAAAAAGAAGAGAGACTATCCAATTTATCATCGGAAGCTTCGTCTTCCTCCTCAATATCCGAAGCTAAATGCGGAATCGGAGTAAATTACCATCAAAATTTGAACAGAAAATTACTGGAAAAAAAAAGCGCAACAGAATTTAAATTTCTAAAAATACCTGGAACGTAGCCGTAGGTTTTAAGATGATCTTGGAGTTGGAGCATTTCGGTTTGATTTATCTTATACATTTCGTTGCAGTGACCTAAAAGCTCTTCGAAAGAAACCGTACTGCTCATTGATTCGAGCAATTCGAGACCGGAGGTTGCGGTTGATACACGGTGATTGAGGGATTGAACGAAGGTAGAAGATGCGGAATCTGTTGCAATGAATGAATAACGATTTAGATTTTAACGGGAAAGGGAAAATAAAGAGAGTGAAAAGATTACCGAGAGGAATAGGTCTTCGATCGATGGATTGTTTGAGTGCATTGGTAGAGGATTGAAGATGATTGCAGAATGATGATAATTCGTTGCAGAAGTTGAGAATTTGGTCCTTTGACATCGTTGGATTAGTTCTTCTTTCTCTTTTGGCTATTTGAATTTTGTATAGGGATTAGGTTTGTGCGGGAATTGAAATCAAAATTAACTAGTATTTTATGAGGTGTTTATAAGATCTAAATAAATGAGCATAAAATATAAGTATGTGAGGGCTCGGAGATCAGTGGATAGGGAATTTTTTTAATTTTTTCTAAGCAGAAAGTCCTACTATGTTCCACCCCTATTTAGAGCGTTTTATTATTTTTTTTGGTTAACATTTTTGTTTTTTATTATTAGATTCTGTTTGGTTTGGAGATTGAGGATGGGAAGAGAATATTTAATAGTTTGTGTTTAGTTCAAATTTTAAGAGGGGATGAGTGACAAATTGGGGTGGTAAAACAGATCGTAGTCTGTTAGATCGGCTTGCACATCCGCCAAAAAATAGCGGTTTAAATTGGGATTTTGCGTCTGCCTACCCGCTCAGCCAGTCCCGCTTTAAATTCGCTTCGCCTTAAGCACACCCAAAAAAAGGGGCATGTTGGTTCACCAGCCCGCCAACATGGTTATCAATCACTCAAAATAATTATTTTGGCTAGTTGAAGGTTAATACTTGAACTATAATTTTGAAATACTTGTTGATGATTCTATTTTATACATTTACTAGCCGAATACCCGTGCATTCGCACGGGTACCAGTCTTGTTTTTTAATTGGTTGGAAAAAAATGAGTTGAAATAAATTAATTAATTAAAAAAATTGTAAAATTGAATTTAAAAAAATTGAAATTATAAGTGGAAAAATATGAAAGTCTATTATGATAAAAAGATTGTTAATGGAATTCTAAAAAATACTTTAATTGAAAAAAAGTTATAAGAGAAAGTGAAAAAAAAGGCAAAATAACATTTTTGGTCCCTTAACTTTAGCTCGGGGTCCATTTTGGTCCCTTATCTTTAAAAAATGTCAAATGGGTCCTTTAACTTTTAAAATGGTGTCACGTTTATCTTTCCGTGTGTTGCCGTTAGTTTGTTTCTAAAAAAATTGCCACGTTTGTCCACGTGGAGTGCTGAGGTGGAAGTGAAGTGAAGTGTCATAGTGGAAGAGCAAACGCCATGGAATGTCACGTTACTTGTACAAGAAGAAGAAGGAAGGAACGATTCAAGAAGATTGAAGGAACGATTCAATTAGAAGAGGAACGATTCAAGACCAGACGCTTGAAGATTGAAGACGATTGAAGATTAAAGAGGATTCAAGAAGAAGATTATTGAAGAAGAAGACCTGGTTTTTTGATTGAGGATTGAAGACGATTCAAGAGCCAATCTCAAAAGGTTAGCTCATTTCTCTCTGATTTAGGGTTTTCTGGTAGAGGTTCAGATTTAGGGTTTATATAAATTTGTTAGTTTAAATGTTAACTACTTACATAGTATGATTAGGTATCATGGATGAATACATAACTCTAAAAATTCATCATAGTGGTGAGTTCACAGATGAAGGTCGTACTGTATATGAGAATGGAGTAGTAGATGATTTGAGGGTGGATGTAGACAAATGGAGTTATTTTGAGCTAGTTGGTGTATTGAAAGACTTAGGTTATAGGGAGTTTGAAACAATATTTTACAAGGACCCTCAATTTGGGATGAACCGACTTGTTGATGACAATGGTGCTTTATAAATTGCAGATTTGTATAGGGTGCACCAAACTGTTGATATTTATATTGAACACACATTGTCTCAACCTGACTATTGTGATGTTGTTGTTGATGAAGTTGATGAGGAACCTGCTGAAATTGTAGATGAGGTAGAGGAGTTACTTAGTAAACTACATGAAGAAGTTATGGAAGGTGAAGTTAGGGTTGATGAAGCATTGTTAGGGTTGATGAAGCCACTGCTGTTAGAGTTGATGAGGTTCCTGCAGTGGATGATCATACTATTGCAGTTGAAAAAGAGAGTGTTGCAGGGGAACAAGGTAACGTTGGAGTTGGAAAAGGCAAAGCTGCAGTGTATGATGACTTAAGTTTATCATCTGATGATAGTGAAGATGAGGACTACAATTGTGATAGCGCAGAAGATGTTGCTTTTGAGGATGAGCCTGATGGGTGTGATGAGATTGGGGAGGATGAACTTGTAAGGACACAACAACTCAACGACCTAGCCAACAATCAGCCCAACTCAATCACACTCCATCGCAGACTGCTCAACAAACTAGTCAACACACTCCATCTCAGACTGCTCAACAAACTAGTCACCACACTTCAACAAGTCAGCCTACTCAACAATCTTGCCAAGCATCTCAGACTTCTAATGGAAAGGCTGCTAAGGGCAAGACACAAAAGCTTCCTGTAAGGAAGCCAACAAGACCTTTTGTGCAACCTGGTTCTACAACTAGGTTGAGTGCTGCGAAGAATATTCTTGGCCCAATAACAAGGAGGTCTACTCCAACAAAGAGGACCCACGCCAAAGAAGAAAGTCTAAGTTGTGGAACATGTTTAGTTACCTAGAACAAGTTTATGTATTGTACTGCTGTCATTTTGGAACAAGTCTATTACATTTTACTGTTGTTGTCATGAACAGGTTTATGTGTTATAATTTGAACATGTTGTACTCTACTGCTGTCATGAACAAGTTTATAATTTGAACATGTTGTACTCTACTGTTGTCATGAACAATTTTATAGTCTCAACATGTTGTACTCTACTGCTGTCATGAACAAGTTCTACAGTTGTTGTATTTTACTGCTGTCATGAACATGTTGTTTTGGAAAGTATTACAGGTTTATAATTTGAACATGTTGTACTCTACTGCTGTGATATACCAAAGAGCAGAACCTAAAACTGTGATATAATCCAAACTGTTATATATCAAACATAAAAAACTGTGACCTAAAAGTTTATATATGTATGTTGCTTATACCAAACATGTATGCTGCAAAACATGTATATATGTATGCTGCAAAACTGTATGCTGCAAAACATGTATATATGTATGCTAAAAGCAGAACTGTTATATGTATGATGCTTATACCAAACATGTATGTTGCAAAACAGTTATATACCAAACATATAATCCAAACTTTTATGTATGATGCTTTATGTATAACCAAAATTGTTATATATATAACCAAAACTAGGTAAAACAATTTAACCTAAAAGCAGTTCAAACTGTTATATGTATGTTGCTTTATGTATGTTGCTGTTATATACCAAATTGTTATATAGCAAACATAATCCAAACTGTTATATACCAAATATAAAAAACACATTGACATGATATAATCCAAAACTGTTATATTCATTCATGTTGAACTGCAAAAACTGAAATTAACTAAACTGATACAATCCATATATTAAAATCCAACAATTACATTCATGTTGAAGTCATACAAACTTTAACTAAACATAATACTTCCAAACAAACCGTAATAACCTAACTACCCCTAATAACTAATACAATGATAATCATCACAAACATCAAATTCAAAATCTTTTTCCACTTCATGATATTCTTCATTTCAATTTCAAGTTTCATCAGCTTTTTTCCTAATTCTTCATTTTCCATTGCCGCTTTTTCAATGTTCTTTTTTGCTTCAGCAAGTCCCTTAGTTACCACACCCAGCCTATGGATCCAAAATTGCTCCTTCTCATCACTCATCTTCTCATAAAACCAATCAAAGAAGTCACAACCAGCTTGCATACCTCCCTGTAAGATTCATTGTTTAGAGGATGATGGATAATAAATAAAAACATCAAAAAACAGAAACAGAAACATAATTTAAACAAAAACATAACTTCAACAGAGAACAAAACCAGCTTGCATACCTTATAATTTGGACAACCCCAAAAAAGTTTTCCCATATTCTTAACAGTAGTTGCCCTTTGAAGAACAACCATGTCTCCACAATGGCACATGGGCTTCCATCGTGATCGACTACAAACATCTGAATCCCGACTTTTTGTTTTTGAAATGGAAGAGAAACATCCGGATTTCATGCTTGCCCTAGATTAATTTACGGATTCGTGATTGGGATTGGGATTTGAGATTATTTTAGGGATTTCAACAGAAGGAGGAGGGAGAAGGAAGACACATCATGAACAAGATTTCCACCTCATCTGCCACATATACAAAACAAACGGACGTTTTGGGGCAACTGACTGTGAGGACTAAAATGACACCATTTTAAAAGTTAAAGGACCCATTTGGCACTTTTTAAAGATAAGGGACCAAAATGGACACCGAGCTAAAGTTAAGGGACCAAAAAGGTTATTTTGTCTGAAAAAAATGTAAAACAAAAATTGTTTAATCAAAAAAGTGGGATACCCGTGCACTCGCACGGGTATTTGTATGGTACGCATATTTTTTTTCAAAATATAATAAAAATGATATTAAAAAAATTAAATTGTTCAACCAAAAAAATTATTATTTTCAAAATTATATAATAAATTAGTGTCTATAATTATTTTCATATATAAAAATATTTGAATCAACAATGCATTATTTTTTATATAAATATTTTTTTTGTTTTGACATTATTTACAAAAATATTAGAATCAAAAGTGAACTTTTTTACATTATTATTTGATATTTTGATTAGTAACTTCATGTTTCGTTATAATTGTTTTATTTTCGTGTTAAAAAAAAAAAGACAACTTATTATTTGATTAAAAGAATTTTTTGAAGAATTTTTTAGAATTATTTGATCAGTAACTTCAATTATAAATAATATTTTAAATACAAATGTATCAGTTATTATTAAAAGAAATAATAATTAATTTTTTGAAAGAGTTCTAAAACTTATCAATATTATAAATAACATCAAACAATAGTAATATAAATTTTAAATTTAATACCGATTATGAATTTGTTTTTAATAAATTTTTTGAAATAATAATAAAAAATTATTATAATTATTTAACATTTAAAAGTATTTGGATGATAAATAAAATGTTATAATTATAATAAATTAATTAATTAGTTAAAAACATATCATTAAGATAATAAATTGATTAATCTATTTATAATAAATAAATAAAATA